TCCCCAAACAAGGCAAGTCATTTGAAGTGCTTTCCTTGGCTCCTGAGGGGTCGACAGATGGTACTGATACTACTCACTTGTGGCTGTTTGAGGAATCGGAAGTGGTTCCATACCTAGTGATCATGGAATGGCTAACTGCCAAAACCAAACTCAAGTGGATTCTGACTCACAGCGTCCCTAGAGGACAGAGTGACTCTGCCCCACAGGGGCTCCAAGGCTGTCATCTTTACCAAAAGGAGCTCTGATAGTGTAGTGCCTAAGGCATTTGACTGCTAACCAGAAGGTTGGCAGTTCAAACCCTCCAGCCACTTTACTTCTGTAAAGATGCACCCACTTGGAAACCCAGTGGGAGTCACTGTGAGTTGGAATTGACAATGGCAGTGGGTTTGGTTTTTAATCTTTATAGAAGCAGACTACCTCATCTTTGTCCCAACTAGCCACCAAACCAAACCAAACACACTGCTGTCGAGTTGGATCCGACTCACAGGGACCCCTCCTTGGGTTTCCAAGGTGGTATCACTATGGAAGTATATTGCCCAGCCTTCCTTCCGAGGAGTGGATGGTGGGTTTGAACCGCCAGCCTTCTGGTTAGCAGTCAAATACCTGAGACACTAAGCCACCAGAGCTCCTACAGGTGCACATATTTGAGAGAAGGTGAGAACACGCTAACTCAGCACCATGTGAAGTGTCATAGCCGATGGTGGTAAATGTGAGTGGGTCCGGAGGAGACTGACCTGGACCAAGTCACTGAAAATGGGACAGATTAAAGCCTAAGGCTTTCCCGGTATTATTTATCAGCAGGTACTTTGGGAAAATACCTGAATCACTTATGGGTAAGTCAACACTGAAAACCAAAAGAAAACAAACTCATTGTCACTGAATGAATTGTGACTCACAGTGACCTCCACTGGGTTTCCAAGGCGGTAAATCTTTAAGGGAGTGGATTGTCCTATCTGCCTTCATGGAGCAGCTGGTGGGTTTGAACTGAACACTGAAGCAACAGTGAATTTGCTTTTCTGATGGACTTAGCAGGGTGAGTCCCCTTCTTGTATGAGTGGTCTCCTTACATCTCCGCATGAAAGAGGAACACAGACATAGGGGCACACAGGGAGGACGGTGACCAAGTCCCAGGACCAGGCAATGGTGCGGCCTTCCCGGCCCACCAGCCTCAGTTTCACCCTGTGAGCAATGGGAAGGCAGGATTGCAGGAAGGACACCATGAGGGCTCCTGGTCCGCGCCTGTGCTGGCAGCTGTCCACCTGGGCAGAGCCCCTGCCTACTTCCCAGGGGGAGGCCAGGGCAGCTCTCCACTCCCACTGCCCCCCTCTGGCCCAGTGCCAGCCTCTGCTCTGGGTAGTCCCTCCCATGCATTCCTGTAGCGTGAACATCTGCCGCTCCCAGCCTTGTGGGCAGGCCCATTTGTTCTCCTTGAGGGCCTTGGGGACGGCTGGCCACTCAACCAGCCCCGTTTCCAGCGGTGGAACCAGCAGAGAAGGACCAAGCTTGGTGGCTCAGCCTGAAAGGTGAGGGTCATCATAGAGGCAGGGCCCACCAAGATTCTGGAAGGGACCATCTGGGACCAGGGTATGTGGGAGCACTGAGGGGGGTCTCCCTAGGGACCCCCATACAAAGCCCAGCTCCAGGGCCTGAGGGGTCACTGTGACTGTGGGTATGTGGGGCAGGGGTCGGGAGCCTCAGGCTTCTGAGTACACCCATGCATGTGGTGGGGGGTGCGGCACAGGGCGGTCTCCATCAACCTCTCCATCAACCTCCAGCCAAGCCTGCTCTGGGTGGGAGCAGAGATAGGTCTGAGGCTGGTACTAGGGCCTCCTGGAGAGGGGCCTGGGCCTGCCACAAACCACACAGGCTGGGGAAGGCAGGTGGGGCAGCCCTTGGTGCCCTGCCCACTGCTGACACCCCCTCCCTAGGTCTCCACTGCGAAGGGGAAGGGGCATGGCCTCCCCCTCCTTAGAGGGTGGTGCCTGGAACTATCTCAGCCCCCAGTCAGCCTGCTGTTGACACACTGTGTGGCCCCAGGCTGGGCAAAGACCAACTGACTTGTGTCCAAGGCCCATCCCTACACCTGTAATCCTTTCTCCCACCCGCCCTTCACCTGTGAGGCCTGAGGTTGGAGGGAATGTGGTCTGATTTCTTTGCTGTCAGTTGAGGGACAGCAGTTGGCCGGGCTGGGGTGGGAGCTTTTGCAGGTGGTGGGGCATGTGGGCAAAGAAAGAACCTCAGCCCGTGTGTCTCAAGCCACGTCCATCTCACACATTGCTCTGTGGAGCTTGTGGTCCACTCAGACCCCAGACTCCACCCAGGAGTAGAGCGGCATTGCTGTCTGCTGGTGGAAGGGTAGGGGTGGGGAGGAGGGGCAGGGCCGGTGCTCTCTGGGGCTGCGCCCCACCCTCACAGCTCTAGTCTTTCCTGCTCTGGGCCAAGCCCAGTGCCCAAGCTGGGCCCTTAGCGTGGTAGCAGGCTCTCAGTGACTGAAGGATGGAGGGGACGCTGGTCAAAGGGGACAAAGGCCAGGCTCCCTGGTGCGTGCCGGCCCTGTCCCCACCCAGACCACAACGTTTTAAGAAATGATGGAGGACAGACAAGGACTGTCGTGACGAGTCCCACAATGAGACTTAGCGCTCTGGGACATCCTGTCTCCACTTCACACACAAGTACCCTAAACCGTGCCCTTCCCTGGGCCAGAGAAGCTAGGCACTGTGTGGTCCCGGTCACACACACCTGAAGCTGTTCCCCTGGGGGCCCCCAGCCGGGCCCAGCCCTCCTGGGGGTGTGTGTAGAAGGCAGATCCCCAGGCTACCGGGGCCACAGAAGCTCCGCAGGGTGGGCATGCTGTCAGGCTCCCAGGCAGCAGGCACCTGGGGGTCTGGGGGTCTCCGTGGCTGCAGCCAGTTGTCAGCAGGGACTGTGGGTGCTGGGCCACCTCAGGGTCTCCTGTGGTCTGAGGGAGACGGCAGGGGGTGCGTAATCTGTGCCTGGCCACGCCCACGCCTCGGGCCCCAACCCCACTGCCCACTTTGTCCAGCCTCCCTGGGTCTCAGCACCCAGGGGCCTCCCACGTCCACAGGGGGTTAGGGGTGTCAGGGTGACATCTGAAGGCTGTGGGTGCTCCCTTAGAGCTCTCCCGCCCCGGGCACTAGGCTGGCCTCGGTGGCTCTGCCTCTGTTAGAAGCACAAAAGCCTCCCCCCACCATTTCTGAGCCCTGAGTGGGTCACATATAGACCTGGGTGAAGATTTGGGGGGAAGGGTCCCCCTCGACTCCATCTAGCTCCAGGCAGTGTTCCTGGGAGGGGAGGGCAGTGCAGAGGGTGGGTGGTCTCCTGAAGGCCCAACCCTCCCACCCCAGAGGACAAAACGCTCCAGAGAGGGGCTCCCCACCCACCCTGACCTGCAGGTCCTGAGCCCCACTCCCAGAGAGCGCACATGAAAGCCCGAGGTCGCCCGCCATACCTACCCCTGAAAATGGGGCTCACCAGTGTGGCTCCAAGGGGCTGGAGGTGGCGAGGGCTGACCCTTTTCCACTGCCAACCTGCCCCCCCAGGACTTTCTCCTGCCCGGGGGGGGCTCAGAGGGGAACCCAGCGACAGCCCCTTCTCTGGCAGGCTGCCCTGCACACTGTACCCTGTCCTGGGGCGCTGTTCACCACAGAACTCTGGTTCCCACAGAGCCAGACGGAGGGTGTGGGGCAGAAGGGTGGGCCTGCACCGGGGAGGGGGCTGCTCAGAAGCCTGGCCCCTAGCTCAGTAGTTGCTGTGTGCTGAGGGGAAACTGAGGCTGGCCTGGGTGGGAGGCACTAATTCCATGCCCACCTGTCTCTCCCAGGCAATGGCACTGCCCCTGCCTGAGGCACCCACAGCAGGACAGGTGTGACTCAGAGTCAGCTGGGGCAGGAGGGACCACTTCCCAGCAGGGCTGGGCCAGCAGGCCTGGCTCACAGCCACCAGAATCTCACAGCTCCACAGGACACTTGACTGAGCAGGGATGGCCCCAGACACTCCCTCCAGGGCTGCCTTGGGTCAAGGGCTAGGTGGTGGAGGAGTCTGGTGGTGCCCAGGGGACATCAGGGTCACTGTCCCCCACAGGCCATGGCTTTGCCAACCGGATCTCCTGGAACCACTATGTGTTCCAGCCTCTTCCTCCTTCTCAGTGTTGGTGAGTAAAAGGGGCGCTGCTTAAGGTGTTGGAGAGTCTGAGGGGGCGGGCAGTGTGACAGGACTCGGGAAAGGCTGTGTCATTGAGTGGATTATGACTCACAGTGACCTTCACTGGGTTTCCACTCCCCTCCTCTGAGGCTGGGGGCAGAGTCTCCCCCGTTTTTGGAGATGTCGCTTCACCCCTAGGTGACTGGGTTTGGCATCCCACCCCCCTGGGAGGGACTGAGGCAAAGCTGGGGTCTGTGGGGTGACCACCCAGGAGGAGGGCATGGAGGTGGGGATCCCTCGTGGGGTGTAGGTCCCTGCCCCTGGGGCCTTCACCCTTGCTTGGCACACCCTGTGACGCATGCCTGGGGCTGGGGCCCAGATTGGGCTCTTCACCCCCCAGGGTGAAGGCATGGGCCAGCCACACCCCAGAAGTCCTGGGCCCTCCCCTAAATCTCACACTCTTCCCCTTGCAGGGTGGGTGTTGCCTTCTGGGGTCCAGGCTGCAGAGGTGGGACAGGTAAGCTCCTCAGGGGTGGGAGAAGGGTTGTGTGAGTCTTGGAGGGGGTTCTGGCCCTGCATGAGGTAGGCAAGGTGTTCACACACACACAGCTACTCACACACGCACAGTTACTCACACAACTGTGAGAGCCCGTTTTCAAAGGAGCCCACTTGCAAAGGTGTACCTGGATCTGAGGTGGGACTGGCCAGGGAGTAGTGGGGTCCAGAAGTCATTGTGCCCAAGGGGTAGTGAGGCCCAGGGAGTAACAAGGCCAGGGGAGTCAAAGGTTGGGGGGAGTCGGAGACCAGGGGGAATCAGAGGCTGGGGGTGGTCAGAGACCATGGGTCAGAGGCCGGGGAGTAACTGGCCTCAGGCAGTATTCCGTGCTCTGCGGGGGCTGCTGCCCATGCTGGACCGGCCCCTCCCGCAGTGCCCCCTGGGTGAGACCCCAGCCCTGCACTGTTCTCTCCTCAGGGCATCTTGGCTTCAAGGCTGCTACGCGACCCCAGGGACCCATCTCGGTCACGCCCTCGGCTGTCTGCTGTCCTCCCAAGGGCCCGGCCAGCCCCACTGAGGCAGGACACCGAGAGTGGTAAGCACCGAGTCCTGCCTGGGGCGGGGGGTGCCGCGGCTCAGCCAGGTAACCCAGGGATGCCAGTGGAAGAGAAGGAGGTGGGAGACAGCGTCTGTCCCTGCAGAGCGGGGCTGCCCCCCAGGCCAGGAGGTGCAGGAAGTGGATGAAACGCTGGTCTTCTACTCGGAGGCCGACCTGCAGGCCTGTGTGGACGGTGCCCTGCTAGCTGCTCAGCTGGGCCGGCTTGACACCATCCCCTTCACGTACCAGCAGCTGGAGACTTTCAAGCGCAAGCTGGACAAGGTAGCCGGGAGTGACCGGCCGCCGTCCCCACGCCGCCGCGGGTGGCCCTGGGGGAGGCCAAGGCTCTAACAGCCCCATCGCTGTGCAGACCTACCCCCAGGGCTACCCCGAGGACGTGGTCCGTAGGCTGGGCTCCCTGTTCTCGCTGGTCTCACCGGAGGACATCAGCAAGTGGGATGTCAGGTCCACAGAGACGCTGAACACTCTGCTACGAGTCAGCAGGGGACAAAACACCGATGCTCAGGTGACCTCCTGCCCCGGGGCGTGCTGGAGGTGGAGGGGGTGTGCAGGGTGGGGCTGTGTGGGGCAGGGCACACGGGGTGAGGTTGTGAGGGTGGGGCTGCGCAGGCCTTGGGGGGGTGATTGGCCTCCCCCTGCCCCCAGGCGTCTCAGTGGCTCCTCCCACAGGTGGCTGCCCTGATAGCCCGCTTCGTGGCAGGAGGGGCCCGGGTCGACCCAGGCACCCTGGCCACGGTGGCTGCCCTCAGCCCTGCCCACCTGTGCCGGTTCAGTCCTGAGCAGCTGGGCCTCTTGGAGCCCCACCGTCTTTGGTGAGTCTCTGGGGCTCTGCCGGGGGTGCCAGGTGGCGGGCTGGGCTCATTGCCTGGCTCCCTGCCTGCCCCCAGGGAGCTGGAGTCCAGGGACCTGGAGGGATGTCCCCTTCCGCAGATGGAGGTCCTCTTCTCCAAGGCGCGCCTTGCCTTCCAGAACACGACTGGAGCCGGCTACTTTGAGAGGATCCGGCCTTACCTCGGTGAGCCTGGGCCCTGGGGACATGGGTGCTGCAGCCCCTCCCCACCTTAGAGCTGCTCACTGAGCTGTGACCAGACAGCCCTGTATCCACAGTCCCAAAGTGTGTGTGCACCGAGACACTGTGGTGGGCTGTGTTACTCAGGGGTAACCACTCCGGCCATCCACCCCCAGCCCTCGGCCAAAGCTCCTCTGAGCAGGGCAATCTGTGGGAAGGAAGCAGGGCCAGGAGCCCTGCAGGGCCTCAGGGACCCCTCTCCCCCCATGGCAGGTGGGGTCACCACGGAGTACCTGCGTGTCCTCAGCCGGCAGAATGTCAGCATGGACATGGCCACATTCAAGGAGCTGAGGACGGAGGCCCTGCGGGTACAGCTCAGGGCGGGTGGGAGGGTGAGGGTCTGGGTGGCCAGGGGTGCAGGGGTGAAGCTTGACTTGTGGATGGGGAAGCTAGACAGGTTTGGACAGTCGAGTGCAGCCTTCTGGGACAGGGGGAGGTGACAGGGAGGAGCAGGAGGCCCTGATGGCTGCCCTGGGGGTCTCTGGCAGCCGCTGACGGTAGCTGAAGTGCGGGGGCTGCTGGGGCCCCACGTGGCAGACCTGAAGTCGGAGGAGAGGAACAGCCCCGTGCGGGACTGGATTGCTCAGCAACGGCAGGACGACCTGGACACCCTGTGGCCGGGGCTCCACGGTGGCATCCCCAACGGCTACCTGGTCTTGAACCTGGGTTCCCCACGGGGCCGTGGGTAGCTGGCTGGTGGATGGGGTGGGCCCCTTTCTGCATAGGGACTCTCTCAAGGGGCCCTGCCTCTCTGGACCCAGGCCCATGTTGGCCCTGCTCCTGGCTTTGACTGTGAGCTGGCAGCTGCCTTGGACTCCTGGCCCCAGACCTGCTAGAGTTCTGCCTGCCTGGCCGTGAGCCAGTCGGCTGTCCGCATTCCAGCCTGAGAGCCTCAATAAACGGGGCCGTGTTCCCCTGACGTGTCTGTGGTGCTGGGAGGCTGCAGACGGGGCGAAGCGCGACTCCGGGGCTCACCGGGCATGCGGCCTCCCCTAGCCCCACACTCACTCTGAGAAAGGGGGACTCATCAGGGTCGGGCCACTTGGGGCCTTCCAGACACCACCTATCACCCTGAAGGCCAGGACTTCGGGCCCAGTTCCCCAGCCCCTGGCTCAGGTATGTGGGTGGCATAGGGCTGAGCCCTGGCTGCAGGTCCCGGGGTGCCTCCGACCTCTCATTCCAGAGTAGAGGGACACAGATCGGGAGAGAACAAATGGTTTATTCACAGCCATCAGGAATGTCGGCGACACTAAAGCCCCCACGCCCACCCAGTTCCTCCTCCCGGAGGGGCAGCTACGTGCCTCACTCCAGCTCCAGGTCCTGGAGGCCAGGGATGAGTGGGGCCTGCAGGGCCCCCAGGCCCCCTGGCCCAGCTGCGCCTGCGAGCCTGCCCCGCCCTGTGTGCTCTGCCCGCGGGCCTGGCCGCCCTGGAGCAGGGCTGCCTGAAGAGGCCATGGAGCGAGTTCCTGGCAGGCTGTAAGCAGGCCTGGGGGTGCTCAGGGGTGCCCGGTGCAGCAACCACAGGAGGCTGGAGGGCAGGACCAGGATGAGCGGCAGGGACCCCAGGGGTGTCCGAGGGCTGCCTGCAGCGGACACAGGGGCGTCCATCAGTCCCGGCTGGAACACCCCAGGCAGCCTTCCCTGGGGTTGGTCTCATCCCTCCCTGAGGACCCTCCCAGCACCCCCTGGCAGGACCTCAAAGTGTCCCTGCGCCCTGGCCTTTCTGCCGTCCCCACAGTGTGGGACGGTGTGGTTAGACCCCTCAGAGCCAGTGGACAGTGCAGGTGGAACCAGTGTGAAGTGGGGCCACCTGAGGAGGCCAACGGGCTATGGGGGAGCCAGTGGACCGAGCGTGCCGTGGGCAGGAGGCCAGGGGCTGGGGCCGCAGTGGGGATGCCAGCGGGCAGTGGGGTGGGCGGGGCGCACCTGAGGTGTGGGCCTCAGCGCCGTTCGCGGGCAGGCCTGAGGGGAGGGCCAGGAGGGGTGGCCGGGGCTTGGTGTTTGAGGTCCTGTGGGTCATGGAGGCCGGGCCGATGGTGCTGGCGACATTGGCGTCCAGGCCCAGCTCGCCCAGGGCCGAGCTGTTCAGACTACGGAGCCAGGAGCTGATGGTGGGGTGGCTGCGAGCCTTCTGGAGGTCCCCCACATTCTGACCCAACAGCGTTGTCACATTGTCCACACTGAGGCTCTGTGGGAGACAGGCGGGCCGTGGGGGGATGTGGAGGGGCTGGAGGGTTGTGGGGTGAGGCTCTGTGGGAGACAGGCGGGCTGTGGGGGGATGTGGGGGGGATGTGGGGTTCTGGGGTGAGGATTTGCAGGGGGAGCAGGTGAGGGGGGTGTGGGGACATGGAGGGTTCCCGGATGAGGCACTGCAGGGGGCGGGCGCGGGGGGGGGGGGGATGTGAGGGGGATGGGGCTTCCGGGAAGTTGGGCAGGGCAATGCTTAACCCAGGGCACCAGCAGGAATGGCGGGGCTGGAGAGCAGAACGAACACGGCCACACGCTGTCCCCACAGCCCTGACCTCAAGGCGGCTGGAGGAGGCTGTGCCGCGGAGCTCCAGGGACCCCCCCACAGCCCTGGGACCCACCTGCAGCACCCGGGGGTTGAGGTTGGTGAAGGTGTCAATGTCCATGGAGACGTTGGCCTGGGCCAGGTGCTGCAGTTCCTCCACCGGGGCGCCACCTGGGGGCGAGGCGTTGGCGAGGGAGGCGGGATATCGGTCGGGAGGCGGGGCGTCAGCCGAGGGGCGGGGCGTCGGTCGAGGCGGGGCCGGGCTGTGGGGCGGGGCGCCGCAGGCAGGGGCTCACCGAGATAGGGGCGCATGAAGCGGTAGTAGGCGGCAGTCGTGGTGGAGCCGCCGAAGGCCTCGCGGGCCTTGGCATAGAGGACGTTCTTCCGGCTCTGCGGGCAGGTGGAGATGTCCAGGGCCCCTGCCAGCCTGCGGGAGACAGCGAGCAGCCTTCCGGGCGCCTGGCCTGACCCTTGCCCCAGCCTCAGCTCCCCCCCAGTTCACATCCAGGGCAACCTCAGCGTGTGACCCTGTTTGGAGACAGTGTCTTTGCCCATGGGGTTGGTCAGCACGAGGCTGCAGTGGGGCGGGGTGGGCCTGCACCCAACGGCAGTGACGTCGTGAGGATGCACAGAGACACGGAGACGGGAGAAGCCACGTGGCGTGGGAGGCAGAGATGGGAGAGACGCCTCCCATCCCGGAAGAGGCTGGAGGAGACCCTCCCCTAGAGCCTTGGTCGGGTGGGGTGGGGGTGCGGCCCCAGCCACACGCTGAGTTCAGACTTCTCCCTCCAGAATGGAGAGAATGCATCTCTCTGGTTTTAAGCCTCTCAGCTTGTGGTCGTCTGTTACAGCCACCCCAGGAGACTAGGACCTTGGACAGCTGGGCCTTCCCTCCGGACCCTCAGCTCCCCGTCTGTGGTCCTCCGTGGCCTGGCGGTGGAGCTGCTCCAGCTTGGTCCTTGTAGCTTTGAGCTGCTCTGGGCGTCCTGGGAGATGACCAGCGAGTGGGCCATGGGGAATGGCTCAAGAGCAGGGTGGGGTCTCACCGGAACTCGGAGGGCTGGATGGTCTGGATCTGCTGAGGACTCATCCAACAGAGACGGGCGCCCCCGATGGCTACGAGCAGCGGGCCGGTCAGTGAGCCATTGCGGTCCAGGAACTCCTGTAGGATGGCCTGTAGGGAGAGTGGGCTCAGTGGGCCAGCCCGGGGCCCGGGCCTCAGGGAAGCCCACCCCGCTGCCCCACCTCAGTCTGGTTGTCCAGGGCCACGTCTGCTGCCAGCAGGGCCAGGACGGTGTCTCGGGACGTGATGTTCCACCGGCTGATCTCAGCCCCCGAGTACAGGTAGACCAGTGAGGTGATGACCCGCAGCTGGTCCTCAGGGATGCCGTGTGGGTAGACCTGAGGGTGGGCAGGTGGGGGACAGGTCAGGTTGCCTCACCCTGCAGCCCCACCCACCACACCCTGCAGAACTGGCCTCACCCACCTGACCCAGCCCAGCCCTGGCCGCACACTGACCACTGGCCCCACCCACCTGACTCAGCCCAGCCCTGGCCGCACACTGACCACTGACCCCGCCCACCTGACCCAGCCCAGCCCTGGCCGCGCACTGACCACTGGTCCCGCCCACCTGACCCAGCCCAGCCCTGACCACCTGCCAGACCTGCCCACCTGACCCAGCCCAGCCCTGGCCGCACACTGGCCATTGGCCCCACCCACCTGACCCAGCCCAGCCCTGGCCACACGCTGACCACTGACCCCACCCACCTGACTCAGCCCAGCCCTGGCCGCACACTGACCACTGACCCCACCCACCTGACCCACCCCAGCCCTGGCCGCACACTGACCACTGGCCCCACCCACCTGACCCAGCCCAGCCCTGGCCGCACACTGACCACTGGCCCCACCCACCTGACCCAGCCCAGTCCTGGCCGCACGCTGACCACTGACCCCACCCACCTGACCCAGCCCAGCCCTGGCCGCACACTGACCACTGGCCCCACCCACCTGACCCAGCCCAGTTCTGGCCGCACGCTGACCACTGACCCCACCCACCTGACCCAGCCCAGCCCTGGCCGCACTCTGACCACTGACCCCACCCACCTGACCCAGCCCAGCCCTGGCTGCAGACTGACCACCGGCCCTGCCCACCTGACCCTGATCAGCCCTGACCACCTGCTGGCCCTGCCCACCTGACCCAGCCCAGCCCTGGCCCACACTGGCCACTGGCCCCACCCACCTGACCCAGCCCAGCCCTGGCCGCAGACTGGCCATTGGCCCCACGCACTGGACCCAGCCCAGCCCTGTCCACACACTGGCCACTGGCCCTGCCTACCTGGCTGAGCTCTGCCCTGATGATGTGCTGGCCCCACCCCGACCCCACCCACCTGGCCGAGCTTAGCCTTGACAATGCGCTGGCACTCGGCTGGCAGTGGGTGCTGGAGCAGCGGATTCAGGTTGGCCCGGAGCACACGGCTGCCCAGGCAGGACTCAATCTGTGGGCAGTCGTAGTGCACCAGGAAGAGGTCATCCTGCAGGGCGGCTGCCGTGATGTCACCGCGGATGCAGGCTCTCCCTGGGGTGGCAAGGTGGGTGATGACCAGACTTCAAGGCTCATCTTTGACCCCCACCTTCTGCCTTGACCTCTAACCAAGAACCTGGCCTCAACTGCTGACCCTGCCCTGCCTGCAAGCCCAGCCCCTGAAGTTCAGCCCCCACCCCAGGCTCCAGTGCTGGCTTCATCCTCGGGGTCCAGGCTCCAGATGTGGGAGCAGGTGTCTCGAATGCCCCCACGGGGAGGTGCCCCAAGCACAAGACAGGTAGCATCATGAACCTCCGTGGCCACTGACCTGTGCCCCGTCTGGACCTTGGTGACGCCACTTGGGCCTTGGCCTCGAGGAAGCTGATGACAAACCGCCTGGTATCACGAGGCCCAAGCTGGCCATCCCGGTACGCAGCCACCATGCTGCGGAAGAAATCTAGGCCTGTGGCCTGGGAGGGGGTACGGGCATGGTAGCTCTACTTCCATAGCCACTGACCCCCATCCCCCTAGAGAGAACCCTCAAGACCTCAGGGAGCATCTGGGCTACCACTCAGGCCCTAGGGTCATGGCCTGGAGACCCCAGACTGAGAGAGGGCTGCTGGACGTCCCTCAGTGCCCTGCCCCCGCCTGGGGCACATGTCCTACCTCAGGCACCTGCATCCATAGCCGGGGGCTGATGTGTGTGGCCAGGGGTCCCAGAGCCTGCAGCCCCTCCAGGGTCCAGGAGCTCGGGGGCCTGGCACATGGGAGGAGAGGCTGTGAAGGCCCCGACCCAGGCTCCAGGCCCATAGTTGTCTGCTCCTCCCTGAGCCACACAGATGGCCTAGCTCCCCCCCTCCAGCTAGAGCCCATGGGAGTGGTCATTAGCAGGCTGGCCCTGCTCGGGACACCCTGATTGAGGCCCAGGGGCTGGGGGTTCAAGCAGCTGCTGCTCCATCCCCCAAACCCTGTGCCTCATGGACTGCAGGGTTAGAAGGAGGATTAGGGCTAGGGTTGGAGATCAGAGATCAGCAGGGCTGTGAACATCTGTGGCCTTGTTAGCCCAAACCCAGACTGCCTCCCCATCTCACCTCCTGGGCGAGTGTGGACCTGCGGTGCCCTAGAGCAGGTGAGGGGCCTCCGGCAGCCCCACCCTCCTGAATGGAGTCCCCGAGTGTCCCCTCACCCGAGCACAGTCCTTCCGCTGGCCAGCAGTGTGTTGAGGGCATCCTGCTGGGCGGCAGTCAGCCGGGAGCAGCGCTGCAGGTTCTGCAGGACCCGGGGGTTGGCAGCCACGATGCTGGCCACGTCCATGTCACACACCAGGCCTCCAAGCAGAACCAGGTCTGAGGTGTTGAGCCTCGGGAGGGACCCTCCCTGCAAACAGCAGGTCAGCACCGGGGCGGCAGCCCACAGGCCCCACCCTTCTCCTCACCGGGGCCCCTACCAGGCAGTCCAGGGCCTTGTGCTGTAGGGCGACCCTCTGATCAGGAAGGTTGACCAGCAGCTCTGTGTCCCCTTGACCCGCGCGGCGTGTGAAGGCCTGGCAGTTCCCTGTCACCTGGGTTAGGCTGTGACAAGGGGTCTGTCCAGGGTGGGTGGAGCTGGCCTCCCTCCAGGGGGGACACCCAGGAGTGGGGGTGTCACTTGAGGAAGGCTTGCTCCCAGTTCCAGGGGGACTCAGGGGTGTTTGGGGCAGCAGTGGGGGGCTCAGAGGTGTGTGGGACAGCGGAGGGGGCAGGGAGACTCAGAGTAGTGGGGGGCTCAGGGATTTGGGCCAGCTCAGGGGGATTCGGGGCAGTAGACGGAGCTCGGGGAGATTCAGGGCAGGGGGGGATCTCAGGGGGTTTCGGGGCAGAGAGGCTCAGGGGGATTTGGGGCCGTGGGGGGTCTCAGGGATTCAGGTCAGGTCAAGGGGATTCTGGGCAGCAGGGGAGCTCAGAGATTTGGGGCAGTGGGGGGGTTCGGGGGCTTTGGGGCGGCAAGGGGCCTCAGGGGGATTCCGGTCACGGTCACTCACTTGTAGAAGAGCAGCAGGTCTGGCGGGTGTTGCTCAAAATCATCCTGGAGACCATGATGCCCCACGAGGTTGGCCAGGCAGCTGAGCTGGGCAGGGTCGGGGGTCACTGCTCCTCCTGCCCACCTCCTGGGCAGTCCCCAGCCCACCCCCTGCAGAGCTCCTCCATGTCCCTCTCCTCCTGCCCCCCCTCACGTCACAGCAGGCCTCTCTGCAGCCCCCCCTCGCCCTGCCTGGGACTATGGCCGCAGCTTCCCATTTGCAAAGGGACTTTAGGGGTGATCCTGTGCCAGGCGAGTGAGGGAGCCTGTGAGGCCCCTGACAGCCAGGCAGACCCTCAGGGTCTTCCCAGGAGCCGTGGGTGGCACCCTCAGCCCCTGCTTAGTACCCCAGGCCCCCAGCTTCCTGTCCACCAGCCACTATGGGGCGGGGGCAGGCAGCACCCTTGAAGGACCCGTCATCTGTTCATAGCTACGCCCTGCGTGGGTTCTCTGGACTGCTCTGGGGCCACTCGAAAGGTTTTCAGGGAATTTCTCAGGGACTCTCAACCTGACCACGTATCACTGCAGCCCAAGGAGACTCTATGGGAAGGGCCCTGGGGCAAAACCCGGCTGGACATTTCCACAAAACCCTGCCCAGACCTCCCCCTCGGGAAAGGCCCACCCAGGCTGGGTTCTCCTGGCACGTTCACATCCTAACCCATGCACAGCAGAGGAAGTCCCCAACGGAGTGAGACTCCATGGTGCAGAGAACCAAAACACCAAACCACACCCACTGCCGTGGAGTCCATTCCAACCCACAGCGCCCCTACAGGACAGAGTGGAACTGCCCCAGGGTCTCCAAGGCTGTCAGTCTTCACAGAAGCAAAGCCCAAACCACACCCACTGCCGTGGAGTCCATTCTGACCCACAGCGCCCCTAGAGGACAGAGTGGAACTGCCCACAGGGTTTCCAAGGCTGTATCTTCACAGCAGCAAAGCCCAAACCACACCCACTGCCTGGAGTCCATTCTGACCCACAGCGCCCCTAGAGGACAGAGTGGAACTGCACCACAGGGTCTCCCAGGCTGTCAGTCTTCACAGAAGCAGACTGCCTCATCTTTCTCCTGTGGAGGAGCTGGTGGGTTCCAACTGCTGATCTTCTAAGGGTTCCTTAGAAATACCACGCGGCCTAGCAAGTTCACTCCCCCAAAGGCTTGAAAGCAGGGACTCACACAAGTACGTGCAACCAGTGTCGCCTGCAGCCAGAAGGTGGACACAGCCCAGGTGTCCATCAGCAGAGGACGGATGCACAGTGTGGTCCATGCACACAGCGAGATACTGCTGATGGTCCAACCCTCTCTACAGAGCAAACCGTGCCAGCCTCACAGTCCTTCCCATCGTCACAGCCACTGTGTCCATCCATCACAGTGAGGGTCTGCCCCTTTTTCACGGACCGTCTCCTGTACCCAGCATGACGTCCTTCTCCAGGGACTGGTCCCCCCACCACGTGTCCAAAGCATGTGAGATGCAGTCTGGCTGTCCTCGCTTCCAAGGAGCATTCTGGCCGTACTTCCTTCCAGACAGATTTGTTCGTTCTTCTGGCCGCCCGTGGTGTATTCAATACTTGTCACCAACACCATAATTCGACAAACTGACCAACTGATAGATAAGTGGTAGGAGTGGGAAACTGTTGTTGCTGGGTTCTGTGAAGTCCGCTCCGACCCAGAGCGACCCTGTGTCCAACGGAACGAAACACTGCCCGGGCCTGTGCCAGCCTCACGGTTCCTGCTGTGCCCGCGCCCATCAGTACAGCCATGCTGTCAATCCATCGTGTTGAGGGGCCTCCCCTTTTTCGCCGATTTTCTACTTTACCAAGTATGATATCTCTCTTCAGGGTCTGGTCCCTTCTGACAACATGACCAAAGTAGGTGAGACGAAGTCTGGCCGTTCTCGCCTCCAAGGAGCATTCCGGCTGCGCTTCTTCCAGGATGGATTGATTGTCCTTCTGACAGCCCACAGTGTTTTCAGCATTCTGCGCCAACACCACAATTCAAAAGCATCAATTCTTCTTTGGTCTTCCTCGTTCATTGTCCAACAGTAATGGGCTATTCCTCACCCAGCAAAGGAATGAGACCTCCTACATGTTGCAGTGTGGACACACCTCGAACACATGCTAAGTGAAAGAAGCCACACAAACACAGTTACTGGGCGATTCCACTCTCATGAAATGTCTAGAACAGGGAAACCCATAGAGACAGAAGCAGGCAGGACTGACTGAGGCCGAGGTGGGGACGGGGAGTGATGCTTGCTGGGTTCAGGGTTTCTGTTTGCGTGACGCAAGTGTTCTGGAACTAGCTAGTGGTGATGGGTTCATAGCTGGTGAGTAATTAATGCCACTGAACTGTGCACCTTATGGTGCTGAAGATGATAATCTTTATGCTGTGTGTGTTTCATCATAGCAAAAGAAGAACTCACCTCTAAGCGGTTTACAACACACCAGAAACACAGAGCCGTCTGGAGGCTGACACCTTCTATGTGAGAAGATGCCCCAACATTAAACATTACGCTCCTAAGTGCATCATGAAAGCAAGACGCCCCTAGAGCCCACATGGCACGATGAACATGGATGGACGGTGAAGGCTCGTGTTCTCCTGGGGCGTGGTCCTCCTTCCTCAGAGCTTTCCTGGACACAGTTGGCGTGGAAACTTCCAGAGCATTTTCAAGGTTTTTTTCTTTGTTTTAGTTTTTAAATGAAGATGCCTGACCTTGGCAGAGCTGTGAAATCAGCTGCCCCGTGCTTTAGTGGACAATCGAGAATTGGTAGAACCTTCTAGAAGGCAAGTTAACAGTAGGCACCTGTGGTTTTACAGTGTCCGTGTGGAAAATGCCATTTTCCTGCTCGATCCAGGAAAGAGATTTAAGGGGTAACACTGAGTCTGGGGGAGGGGCTGGTCCCATCTCCCTCACCACGGTTCACAATGCGCCAGGGCACAACGTGGTGCGTCTGAGTTGGGATACTTTGTGAAACAAACCCGGATCCCGCTTCCCCGTCAAAGCATTCTAAGGAACCCATCAACCGCTTTGTAAAAACACCCCCATTCCTGTGCAATTTAAGGAGCCTGGTGATGCAGTTGTTAAGTGCTCTGCTGCTAACCTAAACGTCAGAGGTTCAAACTCACCAGCCGCTCTGTGGGAGGCAGACTTGGCAGTTTGCTTCCATAAAGATCGACAGCCTTGGAAAGCCTATGGGGTAGTTCTGCTCTGACCTACAGAGTTGCCATGAGTCAGACTCAACTCGATGGTGGTTGGTTTATTTATATATTTGGTTTAGTGGTGCAATGGTTAAGCCCTGGGCTGCTAACCAAAAGGTTGGCAGTTCAAACCCACCAGCCACTCCTTGGGAGAGAGATGAGGCAGTACATCTCTGTAAAGATGACAGCCTTGGAAACCCTATGGGCCAGTTCTACTCTGTCCTATAGGGTCACTAAGAGTCAGAATCGACTTGATGGCATGTTTATTTTTCTTTTTTCTTCCCGTGATATTTTTACAGAGAAGAATTGAAAGCCACTTCAATGTCCAACACAAGCCAGATGCTCCCATGGTGACAGCCTTAAGCAATAAGCCATCTAAGAACATCTCCTGTCACACAGGGAGCCCTGGTGGTGTAGTGCCTAAGGCACTTGACTGCTAACCAGAAGGCTGATGGTTCAAACCCACCAGCCACTCCTTGGAAGGAAGGTTGGGCAATCTACTTCCATAGCGATACCTCCTCAGCAACCCAAGGAGGGGTTGCTATGAGTCAGATCCAACTCAATGGCAGTGAGTTTGGTTTGGTTTGGTTTACTGCCACACAGCTGTTGGGGAGCAGAGTGGAATACACACCCGTCTGTTAGCCCAGCTATCACGTCCCCGGGTGGTGCGAACATTTAAGGGGATCGGCTGCTAACTGAGGAGTTGGAGGTCTGAGTCCACTCAGTGGGACCTCAGACATAAGGTCTCATGATCTATCTCCGAAAAATGAACCACCATGTCGCCAGGAGTCGGGGTCAACCTGAGAGCAAGTGGTTTGGGGTTTTGGGGTCCATAGATTCAAGGAGTCCCTGGGTGAGCCAGATGGTCAACACGCTCGGCTATTGACCGAAAGGTTGGTGGCTTGAGGCCACCCAGAAGGCCTTGGAAGGAAGGCCTGGACACCTGTTGGCAAACGAGCCACTGAAAACCCTGCTTGGACCCTCAGTCCTCCTCTGACCTGTGTGCGGGCGCCACGAGTGGGTCTGACTCCATGACAACTGGTTTGTTGTTTTTAAACGTCAACTATGTTAAGGGGTACATGGGAGCGACGTGTGTGTGTGTGAGGGGGGGCTGTCAGACTGGCCCACTCCCTGGGCGGCAGCTTTAGGGGGTTTGATGTTTTGCATACACTCTTCAGCGTCTCCCAAGCCCTCTGCCATGATCGCGGATGAATTTCAGTCACAAAAAGCTTCATGAACCACCCATTCCCATCCAGCCCCCCTGTGTCCTCAAGTAAAGTGCTAAAACGGAAAACCCACGGGTTAGGGTTTGGGCTACTCCAGGGAAGGGTGCTTCCGAGGGCAGAGCCCAGCAGGGAGGGGAGATGCGTTAGGGTTTGGTCCTTGGGACGCTATGTGAGTGGCAGTCCTGGAGAGGGGTGGTGGGCACAGCTGGGGCGCGGACTCCACGAGATTACACCCAGGAAAGTTCAGAGCAGGGAACAGGGGACCGGCCCTAACCCTCAGCCTCTTCCTGGAGGAGTAACCCTAGAGGGCGGTTTGACTTTCACTTTTCCTACGCTTTCCCATTTTCCTTGATTATCCTAAATAATGGCAAAGCAATGGCTTTTTTCCCTCAAACTTGAGGCGGAGGATGCTGGGTAGGCTGTGAGGCCTGGGGGTCTCGGCCGGCAGAGGGTCCTGCAGCCCCAGTGGAGACAGAGGCCAAGTCCACGCTCTGGGAACCCAGAGAGGCCGTGTCAGGGGGCACAGTGGCCCAGATGGAAGAGGGAAGGCGTGACAGACAAACCCTTGTCCCCAACAAGAACACAAGGCCGAGGTGATGGCGGGTGAAGTGGCTCAGAAATCTTAGAACAGTCCAAAGTGGGCCAAACTGGAAAAGACCTCCAAAGGCAGGGAAACCGTCCTGGAAGGACCGAACCTCCCACTGTGCTGGGGCAGACCTGAGAGGTGCATTCTGGGTCATTACGAGGCTGGCAGGACTCCTGTGGCCTGGCCCGGCCTGGTGGTGCTGTAGCCCAGCCTCTTCCAGGGAGACCCTCTCGCCCGTACAGCCCACCCCTCACTCCCCTGGGCCCTTCCCCATAGCCTCTCCTGCACGGTCTGCCCACTGGTTGTGCCCTGTACTCCGCTCGCCCAGGGCCCTGGTGGGCACTCACCTGCCAGGCTTCCAGGACAACGTGCTGGGCCTCCATCCTCCGGACCAGAGCCGACAGCTGGTCGCGGTTCAGCCGGCTGGCCGGCTGGCACCAGAAGCCATGCAGAAGGGAGGCATTGGCCCTGTACAGAGAGGAGACGGGTATGAGGGGTGGAGGGGCAGCCAAGCTTGTGGGTTCAAGGGCACTCAGAGTGTCTCCCAGCACTGAGGGGCTGGAAGTGGTGGCTGGGAAGCACCCCAAAACACAGGGCGGGTTCCTGCTTTCCTGCTTGACTCATTCATTCATTCATGCATTTGTTCCTTCATTCCCTTCTTCCCTCCTGGAGCACCCATGGGGGCCGGGCTCTGAGCCACCTCACTCATTCATTCATTCACTTCCTTTTGAAGCCCAGTCCCCAGCCGATGGCTGCACGCAGGCTGGGTTCCACCATCCCCGGCCAACTGCAGAGGGATTTGGAGGAGGGAACGTGGCTTAGGTGGCACCTTTGCTGTGATAGGAGTCTAAAAACTTCCATGAATAGGTGGTGCCAGTCTTGTGTGAGCTCAGCCCGTGTCCGGCTGGTCCGACTCGGGACTCTGGGCCCCATCTGAATGGCCAACGGACTGCTCTCCCCCCAGGGAAGGGGGGGAGCCATGCAGGGGACTGGACGGCTTGGGCATGGCCAGGGGCCTGTGTGGACTGGAAGATGGCAAGCCTCAGACAGGAGGGAAACTCTGGGGCTCAGGGGCAGAGCCGGGGAGTCTGAGGGGGACGGGGATTCTGATCAAGCCTGTGTGGCTGGACAAAGCCCGAGCGGCAGCCGGGGAGGGGTGGCCCTGTCATCTCACGTCATAGTCGGGTGAGTGACCACAGGCAGGCTGAGCCCTCAGAGCACAGGCCCCCACACCCCTGCCCCGCCGGCCGTGGGATCCCAGCCCTGCACGGTTTGTGGGTGCAGGCCCTGCGGGGGCTTCCCACCCCACACTCACCTGGCCCATTGGCTGACTCCATCTTCATCCAGCCCGCCCTGCAAGAAGCCCTCAGCCTGGAGGCGTGAGCAGTGGGCTGTGAGGGACACCAGGAGGACGAGACCTGAGCTGGCCAGGGCACCTGGAATGGAATCCGCTGTGAGCACGTGGGCGGCCTGGGACCTCTGTGGCGCCTGGGGAGATGGGGCCTGCGACCAAGGGGTGCTTGGTGGTATGCACATTTATGTCACCCCCTCCCAGCCAGGTCTCCCACAACTTCGGGCCTCCCAGTAGGATTTAGGGGGCCTGGCCCACAGTTTCAAGGGCCCCTGATGGCACAGTGGTTAAGTGCTATAAACCAAAAGGTCAGTGGTTCGAACCCACAAGCCACTCAGCAGAAGAAAGATGAGGCCGTCTGTTTCTGTGAAGGTTGACAGCCTTGGAAACCCTACCAAACCGAAAACCCAAACTCACTGCCAAGGAGTTGGATCCCACTCATAGCGACCCCTCCTTGGGTTTCCAAGGTGATATCAGTATGGAAGTATATTGCCTAATCTTCCTTCTGAGGAGTGGCTGGTGGGTTTGAACAGCCAGCCTTCTGGTTAACAGAGCTCCCACCCTACGGGGCAGTTCGACTCTATCTTCTAGGGTCGCTATGAGTTGGAATTGACTCCACAGCAGTGGACTTGGGTGTGGCCCATGTTCTTGCCTGGGAAACCCAGCCCAGAGGTAGGATGCAAGACCCCACATTCCGCCAGCCCCTTGAGGACCTTTTTAGTAGAATCATTTTTCCAGTGGCAGAAGGGCCCCCGAGGAGGTGGGTTGCGGTGGTGGGCGCCCCACGCAGCCCTGCCCACTGCCCCCCAGGCTACTGGGTCTGGGGTGGTGCGGTGGTGGCGCTGTGTTCCCTGGCGTCTGGGAGCCCCCCCACTCTCTGGGGAGCCCAGCTGTGGGGGCTCTCATGCACGGGGATGTCTCACCCGCCCAGGGGCCCATGGCTGCTTGGCCGGCGATGGCTGTCCTGGACGAGGCTGTCCCAGGGCGGGAAGGTGCTGGGATCACAGACAATGGGTCCTGGGCGAGGAGGAGGGGGCCACAGGGAGGTGACCTTGCCGCCCCACCTCCCACCCCCTTGGCTGTGCCACAGGCAGCGCCTTCCAGGGTCACAGGCTCCAGCCAGTTCTCTTTGTCTTTGGGAGGAAAAACCCACAAACAATACGTCGTTTTGGAACAAAAGGGAACGGCAGGGAGGGGCTGGGCCAACTGGGGGCCTTCCTTATCACAGGTCGGGGCTCAGGGGACCCAGACAGCAGCTGTAGCGTCTCCAATTAAGGAGACAAACAGGGAGTGGGGGAGGAGGAGGGGCGGTCCCTGGAACTGCACGCAGGCTCCTTAGAGTGAGATGGGGGTCTCCGCACCCTGTCCTCGGCTGCCTCTCTCCCCCTGCCTCGTCCAGTGTGGCCAGTCAGGCCCGTGTCCTCTCTGGGGTCGCACTCAGATGCCCAACTCTGGACAGGGCCTGGCCCCAGGTGATAATCCTGCCTCAGCTCCCTGGGCAGCCACACAGATAGCAAAACTGTGAGTCCAGGGAGGTGAGGGGGTGGCAGGGAGCCCAGCCAGAACAGCCCTGGGCCCCCAGGCCCTACGAATGGCCCAGAAGAGAGTGGGGCAACCCTGCCCCCCAGCCAGGGCACAAAACTGAGGCCCAGAAAAGCCAGTCTCCCAGCCCCCCCCGCCCCGCCCTCTCACCTGAGGCTGGCAGGTCAGTCTGCAGGTGCAGGAAGATTGGTGAGCCCAGCCAGCGGGCCATTGTCAGCCTGCACTGCTCGGCGCCGAGGCACGGAGGCCACGCCGGGTGGTGGCACAGAGGCCCTGTGCTCCTCCATCCCTCACTCCCGGGCAGCACACACTACCCTGTGCCCCGCCACCCACTCGGGCAGAGCCACTATGGGTGGAGACTTGACACTGTGGTGCTGCCCCCAGGGGCCCCTGGCACAGCGGGCACCTGCGCCCGGCCCTGGGGGACCTGGAGGCTGAGCTCATGGCTGGCAGCCACCCAGCCATACTTGCACCCAGGGCCCGGCCCTTGCATCCCTGTGCATGTCTGGCTGGCTTTGGCATATGTGGGCTGGACATGTAGCTCTCAGCCTATATCCCCATGGCTGTGTGCCACGGGGTGTCCCTGTTGGGCATGTCAGGCACACGGGTTGGGCGAGTGCCTGTGTATGGACACATGTGGCCAGCATTCACCTGGTGGTGTTGGAGTCCCAAGGCGTGCTGCCACATGTCATGGGACACATGGGGAGTGTGTCCTCAGGGAGTGGACCTGGTGGCTGGGTGGTCAGAGGTTTGTGTGGT